CTTTATGTTCTAAATTACTGGTTGTTCTAAAAAAGCATTTTCATTATTTCATATTAGCTTCCTCGCCTGAAAAATGTAACTTCTATCTTGCTTAAAAGTCTCTAAGAAACCACACTAAAATAAACTCAAAACTATATTATGGTTTTATAATACAATTGACAAATTTAAAATCACACCCAGAGCAAAAATAAAATATTTGATGTCAAGATATACAGAATTGAGAATATAGTTCGTGGACAAATTTAAGTTACATTATTTTCCTATTTCAATCTAGACAACACGAACCAATGGCAATCAATTATTAATAACGTCAGTTATTAATCGTTAGTTATTAATCGTCTTACAAAAATACACAATTCCCTTTACCTGAAATAAAATAAATGAATATTAATTTATAGTAAATGAATACAAATACTTCTTAATTAGACCAGCTACGTAATATCAAACATGTTTACAAGCTACGACCATTATCTCATGGACGGAAATATATTCAGCATTAGAAAGTAGATTGGGACGCACCAAAAATCGAGTCAGCGAAAGTAAAACCACTCTGTTCAATATTGCAAATACAGTCTAACCTTGATATAACGAACCTCAATATAACGAATTCCTTGATATAACGAATTTTTTTTAATCCCCTAGAACTCTCCATAAGAGACTATGTATATTTTACCTCTACATAACGAACAAACCATAACAATGACCTTGATTTAACGAATTTTTCGTGATTTCGGCTAAAATAAGACACCTCAATATAACGAATTTATCATTGTCAGAACCTCTACATTGCGAATTTAACCTCTGCATAACGAATCGTCTACGTCTTTCCCTTGATATAACAAATCCCCCACCCCAGTATTGTTTTTTGGAAAATCTGTTTCTTTATAAAATGAAATGGAAAGGTGACGTCATCGCTTGCGCTAAAGCTGGGTTTTCCTAGGAGCGGAGTCGGCCAGCGGAGAGAGGAACGCGGAGAGCGGAATTGAATTTAACATGGCATTCCGCTCCGCTGCTAGGAAAACAGTAACATTAAATTACCTAAGACAAGCTGAGTCCGCTCTCCGCGTTCCTCTCTCCGCCGGCCGACTACGCGCCTAGGAAAACCCGGCTTAACATTCGTCTGCTCCGTTTTACACATCTCTCTGTCTGCTGTCGCTGCGCACGCAATGTTGCAACTGAGAACTGATTTCATTCACTGAGGACTGATGACGACGTAATCTGTAGTAAGCTGTGATTGGGTGATAAGTAAATATGGTGAATTGTACAATTTTTGGATAAAGAGAAATCTAAGAAAGAATATAAAAACAAAAGCAAAGAGAAAGAATAGCAACATCGTTATTTTAATATTCCTTAATTTACGAGTGTTTTTATTATCTTAAAGTTGGCTATGAATATGCACTTTTATAATGACTTATCTAATAATTTATTGTTTTCAATACGATTTGTTTCAACTAGCAACACCAATGCTATAGTTAATGATTATTATTGACATTCCTCTGTTATGATAAATCAGTACTGTAGCCTACGGTAGCGTACTGGCCTATCGCGAGCAGTAGCTTACACAACTTTCTACTGTTTTGTTTTGTTCTTTACATGGTTTATGACTACGCAATGTAGTGTTTGACTAGTCTTTAGGAGGGTTAGAACAAGCTGTGATTTTAAACTTAAAGTTTTTAACCTGTACCAAGGCATATGCCATTGTCATGATTGCGCAATATTCAAGATCCCTCACCTTTATTATGCCGGATAATTTAGATTCTACCATTGACTATTGGATACAGAAGGTTCTACTGCACAATGAACACTGTACTGTAAAGTATTGTAGCCTATGCTACTTTAATTGTGTTTTAATGAGGTCAAATCCCGGCCTATATTGACCGACACTGGTTCTGAACCTCGACTTAGCGAAATTCCTGCAAACCTAACCTCTATATAACGAACCTCATTTTAACGAAATCCTTGATATAACGAATATTCAGTTCGGTCCCTTCAGATTCGTTATACTGAGGTTGGACTGTACTAAGTATCAGAAAATATGCTGAAAAGCAGCAACGTATTCATAAAACATTTTTTTTTAATTCTGTAATATCTTATGAAATATTGCAGTGAAAACCCATCAGGCAAATGTAAATTCGTCCCCGGCGGAGCGTATTTATAACTGTATATTTTAAAACATTATTGTGGACTCTAGTTTTCATCGAAGGTAGAAGGGTGTAGAAAACTGTTAGTGGGGTTGGGAGGGTTACATAAAAGTGCCTTGACCCAATTTCAATTCTGTCACCCCACAAACAACTCAAGGTTTACTGTTTGCTTCGTTACAATAACACGAGGTGAGGATTATGGGTATTTTTGGGTCAATAGGTCACAAGTAGTGTCTTACACATTGTTGTCAATACTTGAATTGTACCGACTATGCATTACTACATTTGCCTTTCAATAGAATAACTTGTTACATACTTCAAAATTATCTATCATTAAAAATGTGGTACTTCGTTGAGTTTATTCGGCATATAAATAATATTTAACGCTATCACAATGTCACCATATTAGTAATTGTTTAAACGATAACCCCTCAAACAAAATATAGTATATGAAATATTTGCAAAAATACTAAACACCCATGTTTAAAATACCCTAACCTGCATAAGCACAGTTCCATTTACCTGGTTGGATTTTTACTAAATATACCCTTATTTTTTCCCTATTTAAATGACATTAATCCTAATGAATAGTTAGGTTTGCTGCTACAGAGAATGTAATAACGTGTGTGTATATTTAAATGTAATAACTTAATATGAAATAAACATTGCTAAATTTGATCAAAATTTAAACAAGCAAACTAGAACAGTTTATTTACCCTTAAGAATAACATAGGAATTTTATATTTTCAATATATTTAACAAAATCCCTATAAACCAAATTGTGTAATATGAACAAATTAGGGAGATGCACAACTTTTATCTTCATGGACAATACTCATCCAGAGCTACCACTTAGCACCTCGACCCCATGCATGTATGTATGTATGCCAAAGACTATCGAATTAGAAGTGAAAGTGGGTTACTGATAGACCCACTCCGCACTTGACATTGTTTTCTATCGACTGATAACCGCGGCAGCAAACCTGCATTCTCAGCGTGAACATAAGAGTTGTAGATCTCAATGTTTTTATATTTTAGGGGATCTGGGATTTCACGTGTTTACAAATTACTACAGCAAACCTACGTTTAAAAATGTGTGTAAGTAGATTTATTTACCACAATCGCCATATTCTTTAACATTGAAGATTTGACGTTTCTACAAATTAATTTACACGGGGCTTAACTGCACCTATTTTGGAGTTATTTTTTCATAATTGTTTATGTTAAGTATAATTTGAATTTTGAAAGGAGACTGATAATGTACTCATTAATAGGTTATTTATTTGACTATTGGTACCATAAGTGACATCTCTATACAGTATTTAAATGTTATAGGCCAGTTTATAATGGAATTGAGCGCAATTGAATTGAGTCACCTACAGATTTCGCTTACGTAAATTCATTTATACTACGATAACTTTTCAATCGAAGCGAACTAAAACAAAACTTAATGTAAACAGTAGCATTGTCTATGATATATACCTTAATATCATAGTCTGCTTTTGACTAGCGAAAAACGCTAATTTCCGTAATTATAAGCTTATTCTATATTAAAATTGTACGTTAAACTTTATAAAAAAAAAATAACACAAGGAGAAAATCGAATATTGTTGTAGCTTTTCTGGAAGATACCCAGAACTGTAATTCAATAGTATCTAGAATATAACATTGTTTAAGAACAGATTAGTATATAAAAAGTACAAACTATACAGTATTTGAAATCATTTAGCTAATTATACCGTATTGGTTTTTATTGTCTGCAAATATCAATCTAAATTTTATTTTGATTGACTTCTTGGCCATCATCACGTGACAACAGTGGGAAGGCTTATAAAAGTTGATATTTATGATTTGGTTTTATTGTTTTTAAGTTGAACTGTCTTCCGATAACTAACTATCTTAAAGTTCAGTTTCACTGCTATTGCCTAAAGATTGCTACACTCTGATAAGTTGGAAGTTTGATCGTGTACTCCGGATATACGATAATCCTTCGAGACCAACAAAGGATTGACCGAAGGTACACCTCCGACGGCGTCCCTGGAGCTACGGTTGGCTTCCCCTCAGGTGTTATATTTCTCAAGGAGAAGCGGATGTTTTCAGGCCAGGCCGTACATGGCGGGGGCAGCGCCGGGCCAGCCTTGCCGCACCGAAACCCAAAAAACGACAACCTCGGTGGGGCGGCCTTCGACCGTCGACCGAGCCTCTTCCTTTTGTCATTTAAAAAGCTACCTTCGAGTTTCAGTATAGTTACAACACGCGTGGCCCCAGCCGTCGTAATTGGCCCATCATTGTCTGTCGGTTTCTAAAGAGATTCTCACTGTTTTGGTGCTTGACAATACCTCTTCGACAGCATAATTTTCCGCATTTAAGAAATACATGTTTGACAGAAGTGTTTGTAGGAGAAACAAACCATTTCGGAGCAAAGGTCGTTATCAGTTGGATAACCGCTAACCTTAAAACGACCGTCAATGCATTGTTTGATATTTCAATGACTTGATTAAATTTATTTTGGTTAATCGGTGGATCATCGGTAGCGCTACTAGGTGAAACCATAAAACCAAGACGGTGATGTCGTGGGTTCCCAAAATCCCTCATTGACCCTTGCTACGCTATACAAGTTCCACGCACATGTATGTGGCTCATGTGGAAGGACAAATATGAGGATAAACCACCAACCTTTAGCATAAACATTCTTTTCACACCCGGATTGCAGAAACACGCACCGCAGGTCTGCGGCCAATGTTGACGAGCAAATTTAAAGTTTCAGAACGCCAAACTCTTAAAACTAAAATCCCCATACAACTTGCATGAAAGAAGGTTTGACTTGAATACTACTTGTATGAGAGATGATGAGCCTACCTGAGGTAACGGAGGTCGGCGGGACGGATTCTAGAGATGGGTTGCTGCTGAATGGTTGACGGTTTGGAGTCTGATTGCCACCCCGTCACTGGCCTGTAACAGGGACACCAGACACCTATACAACCGTGGGTACTGTATAGACCGCTTACACCGATACACCTATACACCTATACAGTATACACCCACAACCACAACTATAAAACACATATAGCAGTACACCAGAGACACGAGCAGCGATATTAGACCTACCATTTTGTTTTATATTTACAGATTAATGTTAAGGGTATTGGTCATTTTTCATTTGTTCCGATTAGAAATTTATGACAGTAAGAAAATTGTATAAAACGGTTAGTTTACTGGTGACCCCATTGAGGATTAGGTAACCATCACTCACACATACACACAAAATTAGACACTTACATACAGGTCTACAAGTTAGCGGCGAACCTACTGTAGACCCATCGATATACAGAGTGATCTCGTAAGATGTTCACTATTGATTTCATACAAACCGTTGGTCCTACAATGACGAAATTCAAATGTTCCCACATAACAAACCACAAGGAATAACGCGTTAAAACATTTTAAATGGGTTTGTACAGTACCGAAATCAGAGGTTCACTAGTTCAAATCTGACTTTGCATCTTACAATTGTCAATTAAAAACGTTTTGGTAAAATCAGAAGTTAACTATTCGTATTCGTTCCTAAATGGCGGCTCCTTAAGTGGAGAATTTTGTACTATTATGAATACCCTGGATTTATTTCAAAAAACAAATATAATTTATGTAATCTGATTAAACTTTTACATTACAACCTGTATATACAGTTATACATTTACCTTTTTGCACATTACATCTTGTATTCAAAAGAGTTTTAAAAATTTTTACGTTATTTCTTGGGGTTGATTTAGTAAGGTAAATGTACATTCCATCATTGTATGACCAACGGTTTTTCTGAAATCAATACCTCAATATTAAATTATAAATGGGTACTTAACGAGATTCGCCCTATAAGCTTTAGTTTTCAAAATGTAAGTATTTTTATATTATTTAATGTTGTTTATTTTCTTCAGTACACCTCACGAAAAATAGTAAAAACACGTTTTTTACATTTATAGGTTAAAAGTTTACAGTTAACGTAGGACCTATACCTTAAACTATAGGATTCACCAGTAAACCTTCGAAATATATTAACAGGTGTCCTTGAACTCCCATGTCCTATTTTGTAGATTTATACCTAAAGTACATATAAATATGTTTCACAATGTAAACATTGCTAAGTAAGGAATTCATTTTTATCCGTCTGTGCTTTTATACTAAATCTTTAATAACGTAATGTCCATTTGAGCTACAAACTTAAAATGATCAAGTATGATATATACCACGTCTACAATTTCAAGTTTCTAACTTCTATCGTGTTACCATTGCTTTCAAAACATCATCCTCGATTAAATCATTTCAAAGATCTGTTATTTAAAACGAAAAAAGGAAGAGAAACGTGAAATTAGATGTACTGTACACATGGTCTTTGTAACCTTACTTAATAACCATTCTTCCCAAATTTGTGGTTAAAATTGATATTCAGCTCTTAAAGAGTGTAGTATAAACCACAGACAGATAACTACACACTTCAGACAAATAGTTATATTAAAAATATGTGTGTGGATGGCACTGACAGATTAAAAAAAGGAGTTCTGAGACACCTGTGGAAAAAATTAAATCTCCACGCGACCAAAGAAAACCAACCATGTGGAAACACAATATACTCAAAATGTAATAGTGAAACATAAATAGTAAAATAATGATTTGTTAGGTGTAAGCAGTCTTCTGCAATACCCACGACCGGTGTCTTGGTTAACCCTGATAATCTGTGTATAAAAACTTGTTTTACGCACTCTCAAAATTTCGGCCAAAAAGGTTATTTCAGTTTGATAAGGTACTTTTTGCAGTTATTGATTTGTGAAACTGTATCTTAGCGTACTTAGGATTCGGCAAACGGATTTTTTTCTGTTGTCGAGTGTCAAAATCAAAGTTTATATGACGACGGAATTTATAACTGAAGTAGTCTTAATTAGTTAAGAAAAGATTTGGTTGAGCATAAAAGCTCATCGTAGTTATTTCTAAGCCAAAAAGTTAAAAAACATACATTTTGGACGGGATCATTGTTTTACATAGTTAATCAAAGTAGTAAAATATTTTTATTTCTCGACTCATTTAATAACTTTTGTGGTGCAGCACAGTACAAATTGCGGAAATTGATTCATTGATTTATTCGCTCAAAATTTCACGTTGTTTAACTTTATCAGGGAAAATATTATTAAAAAGCGAATATTCTATTTACAAAACAACCTCGATTAATTTTTATCTTCACAAGGCAATTATAGGGTTATCGCGGAATAATCCTAATCAATATTACAGACAATGCTATAAATAAAGAGGAATTTCGCAACGCAGATTTATTGTAGCAAGACTGATAAGGTTTGGAGTATTTGGGTTTACAGGCTGATAACAGGGCTGCAATAGGGTCAAGAGTTGGTGATAATTTGGGGGCCACACTCGCGAGGACGTGTGTCGGCAAACCGGGCCAGCCAGGCCAGCTGCAATCGCCGAACTGACCAATGACCACACTGGACACACGGTGTAGTAACACTTCGGCCAAACTCAAATTTCTTAGAAAACAGTAACACTATGTCCCACTCGCTTTTACAGTTAATCAAATAAGATAATGGAGTAACATTTCGGCCCGACGAAAAGTTTACAAGGGTTGAGGAACTCAGTTCTGGTATTAAAGTATACAGGTCCATGTACATCCTTTGCAACCACCCTGTGAGGGAATGCGGCCCAACCGTTATCCTTTCGGAATCGGTGGAATCTCACCCCCTCCAACCCCTTTATTCACGAGGGAAGAACTATCCTAACGATAACCAAACCAAACCTAACCTAAACCAAACCAAACCTAACCTAAACCAAACCAAACCAAACCAAACCAAACCAACCTAACGCCTTTTGTTAGTTTTTAAATGTTGTTATTTTTTTACTATCCTCCCAAATAGTTGGTGAAGATCTGTAAAATATATTTTTGTACGAAGTGTTACTCGTTATCAGGTAGAGAGTTGGACCACAGGCAACATCTGAGGATTTCGGGCCGAAATGTTACTGGGCAGAAGTGTTACTTGGGACGAAGTGTTACGACACGGGACACACACTGGTGACGTGAGATTTGAGAAACAAAATTACAAGGATAGGATATGACAACAAACCATGCCAGCCAACAGGGCACTGCAATACAGTACTTTAAAAACCTAGCTACATTATGCCAAATACCGTAATTAGGATTTAAAAATCATCAACGCGAGTAAAGTTTTGTATCTACACCAATTTGCTATAAAGATAAAACAAGTCTAATTATTGAGTCCATAGCAAAATGTCGCTTTATTTAAGAACGTGAACTTTTTTAATAAAATCAAATTCCAATTAAATTAAAAAAGAGCAAGATACGATTTATTTAAATAAACCAAATCGATTATTTACACTAATCACATTTAACATTAAGACAAAATTTTTAAATGAAGGTGCCATACATGGTATTAGAAATACAAGATAACTAAAGATCTTAAGATACACAGGTTTTTAGAAGACAACGTGTACGGTATTTGTAAACAAATGCATTTCTAACTATTTTCCCTAACATTTTTATTTGCATTATTTGTTTACTTTGAAACTATATTAAAGTCGAAACTCGACCAATGACGAAAAAGGGTTTATGAAAAACAAACCAATTGTTTGTTTATAAACTTCTTACACTTGCTTAGTACAGGGGATTGATTCACCGGCATAAAACATCTACACTGAGGGCATTTCAGTTCTAAAACAAATGTATTGAACTCTTAAACAACACAAACAGTTATTTTATCTTGTAAGACAGTAAATGCAAATACGGAATCATCCATCCGTAGGTTTAAGCATGGACTAAAAACTCTAAATTTCTTAAAGTTCGTTCCTCCCGGAAATTTTTAGTGACAAAATCACACTCACGGGGACAACCGTTTGATCGGCGCCCAAAACGATCCTAATAAGTTACGGCCGAGCGAAGTTGAGTCCTGAACTAGGAAACAAAACCGGGTAAGTAAAGTAGGCCCAAAGCCCTCAGCCCAGTTTAGCCGGCATAAAAAATGGCACAATAGTTAACCTCGTGTGAGCGGAGCGGGGGGAGAGGGAAGGTGGGGGTGACCGACTGACCCGTCCTTGAGCATCTAGACCGTGGCCAGTCAACTCCTCCTCTCACTCCCTCTCTATATTTCCCTCCCACAGAAATTTATAAGTTTATTAAAATAAAAATAGGATAAACATAATATATCGAAACACGAATTTATGTTTCCTTAAAAATCTGTATAGAATTCATGAAAGAAATTAGGAGGGGAGTCAACTCCTCCTCTCACTCTCTCTCTATATTTCCCTCCCACTGAAATTTATAAGTTTATTAAAATTAAATATTAGTTAAACATATTGAAGTATAAATTCATAAGTTTCCTTAAAAAATGGGTAGAGAATTCTTGAAAAAATATGAGGGGAAGGTTGAGTGGCAAGTGGAACAAACATAGATTGTTTTTAAGATATCTGCACGCTTTGCACAATCATAATATAATCTTAACTAATTAATCTTCACGTCTTTCAAGCAATCCACATAAAAACATCAAGTAAACTAGGAACAAATTTAATCTGGTTTTTAAATACTGGTTCTTGTTGTAAACTAAATACACGAAGATCGTCTACGAAACTGCATGTCCCACCTACATCCTAGGACGCTGGTATTAGGGTGCGTTCACAAAGAAAGCTGGTTACAAGTAACTTACTTTCAGCGCTTGTTCCAAGCGCTTGAGAATGCTGTTGAGTGTTCACAACAAACGCTTGCATTTCAAGCTCAGTGTAGTCTCAGCTCTGGTTGAGACAATACCTTCCTCAAGTGATGGAGAGTTAATTTTGATTGAAAATGTAGAATTAAAAATTCGTAGAAGGAAAGTAGATGTTCATGCAATTAACCGCGGAAGAGGTAGGTTAGGGGAATACCACCATCTATTTCCTCAATTGAAATT